TGAGCTCGTCGGATCAGAAGGCCTCGCTTGTTCACTCGATACGAGACCAGAAAATCAAGAAGTGCAACACGTATACCAGCCACTGTGTACACCAGCTGCCCGCCACGATCTACGAGGGCCCATTATCTCACTTTCACTACAAACACTACAAACTGCGTGGCCCAAGAACAAATGAAAGCCTCGAGCCGCAATTTTAAAAGTGAATGAGCGAAGCGCAGCAGCTCCCATCGAAAACGAGTTGTGCAAAGCTAGGCAAGTTAACAAGAGATATAATATTAATATATTGCTGTGGCCCACGCCACCAAAGTAGCAGCACCTCCCCCCCTCCAAGTGTATCAAACAGTGCTGATGTTGAGCCTCTCCGATTAAAACTTGTGGAAACAGCCGAGGAAAATATTATGCGAGGCAGATAGAGACTTCGCGTGGTGCGTACTGCGGTAATGCCGGTCATCACTTTTTTTTCGCGTATGTTTTGACACCTGTTTCATCTTGTATTTTACTTTTGTTGTATGCTAATGTACAGTGAAGTCCCTGATAATGGAGATCGTGGTAGGGAATTAATTAACGAATTTTTGAAAATCCTGACCCACCAACTCGAACAAATCCGCTTTACTTCAAAGTGAACTAATATTGCCTCGCATCTATTTTCACAGTTTATTTCAATGCAATACCCAAATTTCCACGATCTCCATCACGATTTTAACCGCCTCCCTGACACGCTGATTGTGCGCGCAGTGACCGCAAACAAGTTTGTATGTACAGTATCTTGGTAAGCTATCTCTGTTTGCAGGTAAGTGCTTGTATGTGGCACTTACCCGTAATGAAGTTACACCTGAAGATACAAATATCACCGAGTTTCTTCAAGTAGTTTTTGTTAATCCGCGCCAGCCAAACACGCTGGTACTATGCGGAAAATCGCAATGTGCGTTCTAGATTTTAAGTAATAACTTTCGGCGAAGAAACACCCCGAAGCTCTGCTCCCTCTTCGTGGACTACTAAATCAACTTGCCTCACTAGCAGCTGATAATTGCTCAAACTTGCATCGTGAGGCAAAACTAAACGGGCGCAAGCACGAGGAAACAACACAGCAGCGGTAAGTGACAGAGTCGGTAGGTATCCAAGCATGTCGGTGGCACATTTCGGAAGTGACGAAGGGGCGCTGCGTGACGCACGTGCACACTATGTATTCTAGCAACCCTAATAGACCTCTACTAGGGTACGTCACAGCGTGACGTCACCGGTGCACGTGCAAGACGGTGGTTGGCAAAACACTTCCGCCGGTGGCTGAGTGGGGTGCAGTTTCTCGGTGCTTGGGGCAAGTTTTTCTTTTCTTTTTGAAAGCTTAATATTCATCTCACAATGGCAACATTAGCTGTGGTATGTGTCAGAGAACATCTAGGTGTGTGGTAAAGTGCATGATAAAACATTTGCCAAATTGGCTGGCCCCTGATCTCTGAGAAGTGAACACACATGGCGGCCTGTACGAGGAACAGCAGTATTGTTTTCGAGAATGTGCAGTGTTGACTGTGGCGTATAGTGTACGTTGAAAGACATCGACATATTGGTTCACTTTTACGGGCGGTGAAACTGAAAATATGGTGCGTGGTGTGTGCATTGTGAATAATGCGATGTGTCCTGTTTGTGAAAACACTGGTACTTGTTGTGGGCCGGTTGCAGTAACCGGTTGTCGATGGAACTTCACGATCTGACATACTTTAGTCAAGGTAACAATGCATTTGAAACGATCATCTGCGAGTGGGTACATCTCAGCGTATGCGCGGCGTGCAGAAAAATAAATGATCTCCGGGTGATATATACGTGCATGATCTATAAGCATGTTGTACATTGCCGAAATCTGCAAATACGCTTCACCAGGGCTATAACTCGTATTATCGGATACCTGATACGTGTTAATGCTAACAGCGGAGATTTTCGTTTATTATCTACTTTGCACTTTTACGACTCGATCCTTATGAAGTGACAATGCACATTACAAGTTTCTGTATCAAGCCTAAAGTTACGAAAACACGTTATAGGTGTCAAATGCAGTAAGGTAACTGTTCCAGATAATATATTATTAAGTTGTCGGGTTTAGATCACATAAATTTTCACTAGGTTATTAGGGAGTTTTTGAATAGGGTCCCCAAAAGTTTGGGGCCCCAAAGCCTTTTGCGTATGGATGCTTTGAGTCAAGCAGGAGCGATGAGATTTTGAATAGGGTTTGCCGCTCTTTGGAAACTCCCCCTATTCTTAGTCACTCTGATCTTGGCCGAGAGCTGTCACTTCAGTGGGTGCCGTCACATTTTGGGCAGGCTTGGGTTTGGGTTTTGCGCATGCGCAGTGGCTTTGACATTATTTCTTTGGGGCCCGTAATCGAAAACTCCCTGTTGAGAAACACAGCTGCAGAATTTCACTTTCATCTTTACGAAGATATGTTAACGTCAGCCTAACGCACGGCAAGAAGCCTTTTTTTTTTTCATTCATCTCCGATCCCACTTTTGCGCAATGAGTGAGGATCTTATCTATGACGTCGCGCACAACAGCTCAAAACCATGCTGCTGCCAATTGTGTACCTCGTTTAAAACTGCCTTACACATGCCACGATAGAAATCGAATAAGTTTACATCCATGCCACGCAAATATTTTTCAAAGTGCCAGTCACCGTGTACATTCAGAAGGTTCGCTTTTGAAAAATATCAGATTTTTTTTATGGCTGCCATCTACGCGGGGAGCCCACTGCGTGTTAGTCGCGTCTCTCAGTACTCTAAATAAAGTTTCTCCATCCATCCATCTACAGCGAACAAACGTCCACACCATGAACAGTGACCCTTCCGCAACCCCCTTCTTTCAAAAGCTGTGACTTTAGAACATAGCAATGTCAAAATTTCTGTCAAAAGAATGCAGATACACAGCTGCGATATGCAGAAAGATGCCGCCGGCGAACTTTTTTGCCAACCAGTCCCTGCTCTGAGAAATGGTATGGTGGGCGGGGTGCCCGCAGTGACGTCACACTGTTTACAAACAGGGAGAGGTCTATTTTGGCTGGGACAGCTGGGCGGAGCCTACGCATCACAACATCGCTACAACAAACCTACATATGTCGACAGCACCTACCTCTGTTTACAAACATGTACTAGGTCTATAGAGTGCGCTGGTGTGCAGTTTTGCCTAGCGTTACTGTATATGCTGCCTATAGACGGCTTCGCCAGAGCCTGCTGATCTCTAGCAACATAGTGCGTTCACCGAAAAACCACCCCTGGAAGCTTCCGGTTTCTCTTGTGTTTGCGTAGTTTTAGCGCTTGTTGCTGGCCGTGGCTGCTTGTGTTCCGATGTTTTATGCGGATAAAATTATTCCTTGAAGCGCTTGCAACTCGAGCACAGCTGTGTAAACCAGGATGCCGTCTACATGCCTAAATTAATTTTATATGCTAGTCAAAATTCTGTTTTCTGACAGATGACAATAGAAAGAGCGCCTGCATTGTAGTAATCACGCGAGAAAACTAGATTCCCACTAAGAGCACGTAGATTTGTTCTGCACTTCCCCAAAGGCAATGTAAAGCTTAGCGCACACTGATGGCACAGAGGTGATACTCAGACGGACTAGTCGAAGGCCGCCGTTACTGGGAATACATTAGTCTGTCATCTTCCACCCGTGACAGATAAGTGTACTGACACGGGAAATGGGTAGCGAAACGTGGAAGCTAACACTGAAGATCCATCGCAAAGGTGTTTATTTTATAGTTTGGGCTATATAAATGATGCATACTGTTCGAAACAACACGGGACACAAAGTAGCGGCGCTTAACATTGATCGCCGCACAGTGTACGTCATGGTGTTCACGTTTCGTTGCATTTGATTTTTTTTAAGTGACGTCGGCGAGTGAGCCCTCATCTGTGAGAGAAAATGATTAATTAACATCGCCGCATTCGAGCTCATTTAGTTTTTGGGTGTGAACATGCGCTGCCGGCTTAGGTAGGTTCAACTTGAAAATTTGGTTCATCGTGAGTAAAACATTATAGTTCTGCGAGCGATTCCGATCCCCGCTGATCTCTTTAAAAAGTGACCGGTGTGACACGGGCGCTGAAAAAAGCGTTTTATCCTGAGGTTGTGTGCATAGACGAAAATACAAATATGTTCGGGTTTCAACAGGAGGAAGGTTTTCAGTTCTAGTCGAAAAGCTCAATTGAAGAACTTCACTTTTCTCCTGCACATCGACGTTGTGGGTACGCTTTGAGGACGTGGACAGCGAAAGACAGGTGTGCGCTGTCAATTCTCGGTCCGCGTCTTCAAAGCGCATCCACATCGTCGACATACAGAACCAACTGGCCCAATTGAGTTCGCTGACAAACTTGTCCTGCAATTTATGCTTTTTCTGTTTGTATAGGCACGACCACTATCGGAAATAAAACGAAGCAGGGGCCGCGCTCATCGGAAGGACACGACGAATATTTGGCGCGGCGCCCTTCGGCCACTCGAGCCGCGTTACTTGCAGCAGTGGCCGCGCCTGTGCCTGCCATGTGTTACGTCGAGCCCCTTCATGTAGCCACTAGACGTTGCTCCAAACACATCCTAAGTCATGCGCCAGAAATAATAGAGCAGCAAACTCAAACACACCACGAATACACCACCGGAACTATTGAAAAAGCATTGCCGGAAGTGCCGCCCCAGAAACCTACCAGGGTAAGCCGTTCGGCGCGAACCAGTTTGTTTACAAACACAGAAACCGTCTATAGGTAGCATATACAGTAACTTTAGTTTTGCCCACAGCTCCCGTGCTCTGTTTTACGTTTGAGCAAACTTCCCTTGCAGCCTCGTTGATGTTTCGTGACATCTTTAAGGCGCATCATCTAGCGACCAAACCAATAAATACGACAGGTGATGTCGACGGAGCTCAAGACAGAACACCAATTGGCACCTTGCAGAGTCATGCATGGGCTAGGCTACTTAAGCAATGTAGCCTATCCAGACGCTATAAAAGCTGTTATACTTGAGCACATACCTCGGTTGTCTTCGGACATGCTTCGCAAAACAGCTCGACCTTTATGTCACCTAGGTCCGTGTGCAGCGTAACCGACTGAAACACAAGTATTCCCACCAAATTTCATGCAATTATATGCATAAACTTAAAGCGTCTCTCGAGCGATCAAATTACGCACCATCCTACACGCGAACTTCTTCCTTCAAGAAACACCGATACACTACCATCACAGCTACCATTTAGAGAAGGTATACTATACCTTTGACAACGAAATTTTCGAACATAACGGTTGCGGTGGCATTGTGAACTAACTTATCCGACCTAGAGACGGCGCTAGTAGACCTATCATCATCGGTAGACCTTGCACCAGCGGCTAGATGGAGCAAGGCATAGAGTTTTCCAATTTGAGAAACTTTATGGCGCAAGGTCGAGCAGGTCATAGAGTTTTCCAAAATTACCAGGAGGGAACTCTGACGCTGCGATCGTTCAGCGACCATGGGTACAGTCAATGCCTCCTCAAGAAAGATACCTGAGGCATCGAGTTTCTCAATATCAACTAGAGCAACGTTTCTAGACTAGGTAAGTTGCAAAACTAAGCGATGTTGCGCGGCGCGGCTGCTGCCAGCGACAAATGTGGCGCTGCTGTCGCATCCAGATTCACTCACTGCATGCTCGCTCACAGAACACCTAGCTCGCTCGTGTCACTCCCGTAAGGTCCATCGCTGTGCATGTTGCAGTGCGTCGATATCTGTTGGAAGCTTTTTTCTGCGTGAACATTTTTGGGCTTCAGCGTGCCCTTTTCTGCTTTAAATGTGTTGCGTGTTTTCATCATGTCCGGATGTTGCGTCCTCGGCAGTAAAGTAGCTACGGGAAATCAGAGACACCACATTTCTTTTGTGCCCACGTGTACCTGAACAGCAAGAGGTACGGGACCACGCTATTCCTTGTGCGGATAAGAAAGTGTCCAGCACCTCACGTGTGTGTGATATGCACTTTCATGTGAAGGACATCCTGAAAACTTTCACTCACGTCATATGGTAAGAAGGTACAAATCGCAAGAGGAAAGTGGGACCTCGTCGAAAGATGCGTTCCACGAATATTCCCGAATTTGCCCGCTTACCTTTGTCGTGGGGCCCGCGACGAAAAAGGGAAAGCTGCTCGATAGGAGTGGGGTATTTTCCAGAATATCATTAGCGAAAAAGAATAGACTATCTCTGAGCACTGAGCTCGAAGACAGTGAAATAAGTCTCGACATGCCGTCAACTAGTGGTGTCATTTCGCTTCAAGACATAGAAAACGTTTTTTTTTTTTGCATGCTGGCGGAACGTTGTTGAGAATGGCGAGACAAAACTTCTTGTGGTATTTCAAGGGCTCAAAGAAAAGAAAGAGCGCTATTTGTGGAGAAATGCATTGTCGTCGCAGAAGACATGACAGTCACCATTAGCAGCCGTCACTATCGCTTAGCCAAGTCGCCTGGCAAAGCAGATACCATCATCCAATGGACAGAACTTCTAGAGGACATAGAAAAGCTGCAAGTGTGTTCATGTTGTCCCAATGCGTCAGCAGGCAGACTCGTGAGTAATGACTACGAAGTGCTCACCGATACACCCAAAGTGCGGTCTCTGCTCGAAGCTTTGGCTGCAGCTGTGTTAACAGGTTTCATTAGAGGAACTCCAGAAGAAGCAGAGGGAAGACATGCTCAAGAAAATGGCCGCACGCGTAGCCTTTCGATGGTCTAAGTTGCTAAAGAATGTGACTGACATGAAAAAAAAAAAAAAGCTGACTACTTAACCAGACAAAAGCCACAAGATTGCGCCACATAGTTCTAATTTTTATTTTCAAGACCGAGAACCACAGCCACAAAAGAGGATGCCAGATATTGTAATTGGGTTTTTCGCGTCTAAAAATCTATTGCGAACGTACATCAACTAGCAACTAACCGACAGACTCGTATGTTATGCTATATATATCAAGCATTGTTTATTTTGGGCAGTTTAGAAAACCATATTTATACTGTAGTTGCCTTACACCACTAAATATTACGCAGTATTAAGTTTCTGCGGCAGCACAACAAATCTCGATAATATACTCTTGGCAAAGCTCTTTCGGAACGGCCGCCACGGCGTCTCGCCACGACGACCACGCGTTTTCGTCTGCTAGCGGAAGCTTGTTGTGCCGCCAGTGCCACCAAACCGGAAGCGGTCCCGGTGCCGTGTGACGAGTAGTCTGACGCGGGGAGTTTTGCAACATACCTAGTCTAGATGGATGGATGGATGCTATGAGCGTCCCCTTTATAACGGGGTGGTGACAAGTATGCCACCAGGCTCGACACAAAAAAAAAAAACCCTTTTTTCTTTTTTTATGTTGGCCTAATGCCTCTACTTCGATAAATTCTATCTTAATGGAAAAAAGGTAAATTTTCAGCTTAAGTTCTCTGCCATTTACGGCACACTGACCATATTTTATTTTTCCAATATTTATTTTTGTCCTTTCTCTCTAATTTTCTGCCACCAATACTCTAACCGTCTCTTACTTATTTCAATCGCGGGTGTGTTCAGCTTTCCATTGTTGTCCCTAAAACCCAAGGCTTCCTGTAGGCTCGTGCCCAAACGTACACCTGGGTGGATATCTCCACATTCAATCAAAACATGCTCCGCCGTTTCCTTATCTTTCCCGCAGCATGTGCAGTGTTCTTCTTCTTTACTGAATCTTGCTTTATAACTACGCGTTCTAAGGCAACCCGATCTCGCTTCAAACAGTAAAGCGCTTCCCCTTGAATTATCGTAAAATGCCTCCCTCCTTATTTCATTTTTGCCCTTTCGGTAGTTACTCAAAGCCGGTTTTTTTTCTCCATAGCTGCCATCCAGTAAATCCTCTCCGCCTCCCTGACTTTTCCCTTAACGCTCTTTGTTGACATATGGCTTACAATACCAGCCGTATACTTACTAGTGAGTCTTCTAGTTCTTTTTCTCCACTGTGTGTCCACGCTCTTCCTATAACACCTTCTCTGCCCATCTACTCTCCTTCATATTTCTTAGCCTTTCTTCGAACCTTATTTTGCTCTGCGCTTCCCTCGCCTCAAAACCTGCCCACCCCATATCGCCCTTTACAGCCTCGTTTGTCGTCTTCCCGTGAACACCCAACGCGAGGCGTCCCACAGTCCTTTGATTTACATCCATTCCCGATTGCACCTCTGCCCTCATGCACACCACTGAGTTCCCAAAAGTAAGCCCTGGAACCATTACACCCTTCCACAGACCTCGAAGCACCTCATACCTATTGTATCCCCACAACGCTCTGTGCTTCATTATTGCCGCATTCCTCTTTCCTTTTGCTGCCGAGGCTTTTTCCTGTACCTCCATGTATCTATCACTCTCATTTACCCATACTCCAAGGTACTTGTATTCACTTACCCTCGGTATTTCTTGGCCTTGTATGGACACCGTCTGATCACAGGGATCATTGAATACCATCAATCCACACTTCGTTACCACACTAGAAACGTTGAAGTAAAGCGCACTCTGGCGCTGCGATCGTCCAGTGACCATGGGAATGATGGGTTGTCACTAGAGGTGTGCGCCGACTGGTCGGCGCGCCGCCGCTGAGAGTTTTCACCACGTCGCCGACGTGAACTGATCGGCGCGCCGCCGGCGCCGACGTTTTCATCGGCGCAATCGGCGCGCCATTTATGCGCCAGTACTGACATTTCACAGATTTGTCTTCTTTTTCATCTTGATTCATAGCTTCGTTTCACATTTTATGTAGCCAGTAAAAATCAGGCTTCTTAGTTATCTTCATCCAGCTTCAGAGACCGAGAGTACCACTATGAACAGCGGCACAAGTTCGGCGGCCGCTGCATGAAATGACATATTGGACAAATTGACAAAAAATAAGCGTAACAGTTACAGCAAAGCATAGACACTGCCATCTTAAGCTTAAAAGCAATTTTTGCTGTTTTTTGTGTCGTACTTAGCTATGATTATGGTCATACGACGTTGAATGTAATGGCCCAGCGTTTTGATGCGTGCGAGTTCACCATAGCACTATTCGAATATTCATATGGATGCGAAACGGCATCATAATCAGTCCAAGAGGGCAGCCTATGATCGTTCTCGAAAGAGTGCGTATACACAGAAGAAATGAAATGGTAGCAGTGCAGCACGAATGCAGCGCGTAAGGTGAAGAACTACACAAAGCCCCGAAAGATGAAATTGAAAGGGAGAAGTTTAATGGAGATTAGAAGCGTCGAGGCATAATACATGCTCGAACCTACTCAGGGTATATCATCACCTGTCCGTTGTGTTAAACTTGATAATTTTCGAGGATGACCACTTATATGCAGCGTCCCAACATGCTCCAGAAAATATTTGATGCCTTTTAATTCAGGCATCAGATATCCCGGATGAAGATGCCAAGGCAGTAAGATGGCAAGAGAGAGAAAGGAAGGCTGGGGGATTAACCGTATCTTGGCATCCGGTTTGCTGCCCAGCACTGAGGGTGGAGAAATAGGGGCAAGAAAGGGCGCGTAGAGAGACACAAAGGAAAACGCATGTGCATTCAAAAGTAAGACGGCAAACTTAACAGAGAATTTATTACATTCTGTACAGACAGGGCGAGACATCTCTTGCGAATGAGATGGGTGGCTCACTATAAAAAGTGCCTTTTGACTAAATCCGGGAATGGGTCCAGAATGCGCTGTTGAATCACGAGACACGCACACCATTTCTGACGGTGTCGCTCACACTCGCTCAAGTCAAGATCTTTGATTGGGGCGTGGCCACCACACTGCACCTGTGACACCAAGAAACCATTGTGATCGTCTCGTCGAACCTATTATGTTGTTGGAATGCCACCTCACTTCCCGGCTAAGATCATAAGATGGACGATACATGGCCGACAGCAGGCTGGCAGCCCTTCGGTGACTTGTTTGATGAACAAAGAACGCGGCCCTCCCCCGTCGGCCCAGGCGCCGCGCGTAACAACGGCTATCCAGTGGTGAGAAGCGGCTAATAAGCTTGTCTGAGACCACCAGTTTTAAATATAACAAAACAAAATTTAAAAAAAACTTGCCAGTAGAGACTTTACAAAAGACGGCTGGATTCATAAAAAATGCAGATACCGAAATTTGAGCGACATGTCATATATGACATAGTCCAGCAAACTGCTTTTCATCACGTAGCTTGAACGGACCTACTGGCACTGGGAGAGGTTAGGAATGATTGTCGCTGACAGATGTACTTCTGTTGCGAAAAT